TAAATCAATCCTAAAGCAATAAAAGAGCTCCGTTCGCCTGTGTTAAAGTTTAATGAGAGTCGGAACGCTTTCAGTGTGTTGAGTACAAAAACGTAACCTGCTTGATAACACTGCGCATGAGGTAAACAGCTCTCGAGAATGGTGATCATGTGAATTTGAACAGAAGCGTATCAAGAAATCAAGTTTGATTTCAGGATAACTGCTTCAAAAATGACAGGTTATTCCGCGATGATGATGGTGGTGGTGATAGTAACAGTACTGCTAGGCAGTGGGTAAATGTTGTTGTACGGAACAAAGTGTATCACGTAAAACAGAGTAATCATGCTTTCACAAAACACTACGGATCAGCGGTCGAATAGTTCAATGGTATGTTTCTATCTCCTTTAGCTATAATATCGAGTACATCAATTCACTCAAGGGCATCTTTTTCATCTTGTGATATTGTGAGAATCTGTCACTTGGTTTCTCTTGCGTCTATCAAATATATTACTCACTAATGTGAGTAGTATCTCATCTCAGTAGCAGTAGTAGTAATAGTAATGGTACGTTGTACTTTCCGAAAATAGCTAGAAAATGATTACCGCCTAAAACAAATAGTCAACGTCCGTCTCGAATTCCAGTGACTGATATGTGAATATTCGTGTTTATTCATAGCTCAATGATCTTTGCATGTTTGTTCCCAATGTGCTTCTACCCTCATTTTACTTTTGAAATTTCAAGCCTTAGTTCCACGCCTTTTCATAAAGCAAATTTCTGTATTAGTTTTACAGTCTGAATTGCACTAATCGCTGAGTCCATTCTGTATTCACTCATTTATTCGTCATCTTTGTCACCTTTTGTGACTGATATCTCCGCATTTTCTAAACTGGTCGAATTGTTGTCTCAGAATGATATCGCCCTTAGAGGACAGTATAAAACGGTAGTGGTTTAACGCTAAGTAGTTTTGACGAATGGGATTGTGTGAAGTAGCTAAATGGTATGGAATAATGAAGATAGTGTTATTCCGTGGGTGGAGAACTATAACTCCAGCCACGTTGAGCACATTGCCGCCATTGAGGGTGAGTCGTGTGCACGTCTCACTGGACCTTTTGGTTCATGGTTGATTTCTGTACTTTCCGTCTTTCATATCCCCTGGAAGCCCCTCCATGGAAAATCTACCATCAGAATGTGTCTTAAATATGCATTGAGTGCATCGATCAGTGGTCAGGGATTGTGCGGCCTTCTGAGACGATGCAAGTGGTATCAGAACTCTGACTGCGTTACCCGGTAGCAACCTTCTGCCAGTGTGTTTCGAGTGGATTAAGAGCTGGGCCCTGTTATCCATACAGTAGCTGTGAGGCATAGACTGTTGAACGGAACATATTTAAAAACTATCCCATTACAATACGTGAACACTGACGAGTTTGATTTTCATGCGGATTCATGAAGTGCATTGAGTTACTGTGTTTCCCAAGAGGCAAAACCTGAAAATTGTAGCACGCTGTACAGCAAACATCGTGGACCGAACTCGTGAGTTTTTACGGTCTTTTTCATTAACTGATTCAAATCAGCTTTCATGAGGAAGCCGAATGATTAGCATGATGTATAGGGGCCTACACAAGTGAGATGTGTGACACCTTTGCCAGTGGAAGTTCCCTAAGAGTTGTGTTTGACACAGAGACTAAATGGCGATTTCTGGCAGGAGGTGTATGAAAGATTGGACGGCATGGTTTTATCGAAAGGCATTGTTTTATCGTACATGATATAGTGTAAAAATTATTCGTGACTGGGTTCATACATTCACCACGACAGTCGCTGTAGATGTCGCATTGGTTCTCGAATATTCTCGAAGGACGTGTATATATGATACAATCCTTCTTTGGGTTTTGGATTTTTGTTGCCAAACATTCTAGCTTTTGCTTAAGGAATCGTTCATACAGTCGGAACCTGCATCTCTTTCCTGTTCTCTTAACATCTTTATCTATTATCACACATTTTCTCCTCAGCAGTTTGGATAGCTCTAATACCTTTGAATTAGCACCAAACGGATAAGTCACCTTAACTGGTAAGGTATCATTGGCACCAAAGCACTGCTCAGCTCGGCGAAAATTCATCCAGTCAACCGAATAAGCCACCGTGATCAATTTCCTTGTTTTTTAATCAAATCGCAAATTCAGTGTGTGCATGGGAATTAATCCTTTTTCAGGAAAATAATCGATCTGGGGAACAAGCACATGATCGTTTTGATCTGATTTGGAGCTTGTAAGTCAACGAGAACATGAGGTGAAAAAGTTCGACTCGTCACATCTCCGTAGAACCCCAACACCACTCACCCGCTGTTCCTGACGGCGGCGAAAGCGGATATGTGATCAGATTAATCCATTCCGTCAGACATGAATGCAAACAATCTATTGACAAGCAGAATTAGTAACTGAATTTACAGTACCGATGTGAGCATTGTCAAATGTCTTACAGCATCAGAAAATTGTCAGCAGAACAGAATGTTTAAGGTACGGTTTATCAAACTGAGACTAACATGCAGCAAAACACAATCGACTAAGTTCAGCGATCAGAAAATGCACGTCCCATGTCACACCACAAGTGAAACCACTAAGGTTGAAATTCATCGAGCGAGCATTATCTTTTGAGGGAACTGGATAGAGGATTCATCCGAAACGAACTAACTGCAACACTCATTTTTGAGTTTGAAATTTGTTGTGGGAAATTGGGTCTTTGGAAGCGTAATTCCAGTGGGGTTTTGTTCTGTGTGACACTTTCGGATTAATTTTCGAACATTTTATTAGCGATTCAAGTAACACTGGTAGTTAAATTTAGATGGAACCATCACCATCCAGCAGTTTCAATTTATTATATAGCGAATTAAATGTCATTAACCTCACTCCATTTCCCGTCATTTCCCGATATCCAATCCAACTGAATGTTGCTGACACATTGGTGTCTAACACTAGCTTAAACCTTTACCGGCAGGACAGAGCTACCTTTTCCTCGTACCGCTGTTAGACGAATACTGATGTTTAATCATTCATCAACCCGGCCTCTCACTGTTTTGACCCAACTGGTTTAGGTATTTCATCGACCCGACGTAACTCCGTTTTAAACAGAATTATAACAAAGCACTCTGAATTCTTTTCCATCCCTCTACAAGCATCCGTTTCAATTGGTGATAATTGCTCACTTTTCCTAAGGCCTAAGATATGTTCCAGTTCGGTCTTCCATTTATTTAATTAAAATCCATCTTCTTAACATAACGTGAACGCATTCGGCTTTTTCAAAGATCCCTGCCCCATACAGCTTCGTGATTCTTCTTTGAGCCTTCACTGAATAACAATGTTGATCTTTTTGTCGATATGATAAATTCTGTTTTCAGCTTATGTTGTTCCTTTGGAAACCCTATTTCTCTCAAATGGTCGTATTGCCTCTCCGAAACTGGAAACATTAAGGGGAACATTTCTATGAATTCCGGGACTCATCAATGATGAGATACATTTTCACAGTTATGAAAAGAAATTAAGCGTATCGACTCGTCCTTTGTGAATCAACTTCTAAGCAGCCATATCAAGAAACATCTATGGAAAGGTATTCGGATCCTATGTGGAACGAAATGCAGACCAAATAACAGTACTGTGGACATTGACAGTGTAAATCGTTCAATTAAACAGCCGGGCAGTGTTCCTCCTCGCGCATTTAGTCCGTAAGATGCGACTAATAAAACCTCAATAACGAAAGAATTATTTAAACAACTTTGTATAACTAAACGATCCACTGGTATCGGTTCCGACGGTCTACCATGTTCTATTCTGAAGTATGGTACCCTTTCTCTAGTGGATGCCTTCACTTCTCTGGTGGAGACCCATCACAATCACTTTTGTTCGCAGACGGTGTTGATCCAGCGCTCCATCCAAACGTTTCCGTCTCAATGCATTATGTGGTTTTAAGTTGGCAGAATGTGTCATTCTCAAACATTTGACTGTTTATTTCAACGCCCCCGAAGACCTTCTCCAGTTTGCATATAAATCAAACAGATCCACCTTGGATGCTGTCACCTATCTAGTTAATTACGTTACCAGATACCCAGATGCATCCACGAAATCTGTAGAATATTTTCTTAGATTACTCATCGGCCTGTGACCTTGTGCTACTTTTCCTTCTCTGTCGTAAAATGGGAGTATTTGACTCTCTGACATGGCTGGTTGACTCAACAAACTCGACTGGGTAAGAAAAAATTTAAACCACCTACATCAGTGATCTGTCAGCGAGTTCACCAGCCCAGTTATTTCAATACGCTGACAATATAGCCCTTCAACTTGTCATTTCCGTGCCTGAGGACCTTCTAAATTTTTCCAACAAACTATCGCATATCAATGGATTTTCCACTCCATCTGGAATGTCTCTAAATTTTTCCAATTTCTTCGAATGCATTACTACACTCTCGTGATCCGTTTGTCCCCATGACTCCTCGCTAATAAACACAGACGCCCTAGCTGGAGTTGCTGCAGTGAAGTATTCAAGAGTTATTATTGAAGTGAGAATACTTTGATTGAAGCAAGTCAAGGTTTATTAGCGGGAATCACGTGTAAGTTACCGCGTAAACCTTACCGGTGGCCCGGTCCACTACCTAACGTGACCTATGAGGAATGTGTCATATGAGTTACCTTTCGCGAAGCATATGTAAAGCACTCTCTTCTCGACCCTGAACAGTCCAGCATGATTATATCATTGATCCTATTTCAGACATATTAAAGATTTATTGAAATTATTACAGTGCCTGTCCGTAGAGCATCATTTTGTGAGCACTGAAGCTACTCACGTTGCGAAGTGGCTAGAAATATATTTAAAGCTGAATGTGGATATACTGTTAAAAATTTAATATTCCAACACTTATTGGTGAAAGAATGTGTTTGATAAAATTGGATTCGCTTGATTTATCCACGATTGTTTTGTTTGATCGATTGATTCACTGATCAAGTTTATTGAATGACTGATTGATTGCTTAGTGATTTTTAGTTCCACGAACAAAGATGTCCATCATTTGACGTTGAATAGAGAATATTCGTTTTCAGGTCAAACGCGACCGACTGCACTGCATCCTCGTGAGCAAATAACGATGAAATCTGGAAAAAGACAACAGATGACGGAGCAATGTCAACTGAAAAGTATAGCAGTGATCGGTTTAAGTTCCATTTATCAAATCACGTCACACTCATGGGACTGACGAGTTTTGAAATCACTGTACAACCAATTCATTATTGTGAGTGATCAACATTAATGTCTTGAGTGACATTGACTTCAATTACTAATCCAAGAGTATTTTTGCAAAATGTTAAAACATTTATTCGTCCATTGTTCAGAGCAGTATAAAATCTACACAGCACACTCGAAATTTCAGCGAAACTCAATTTAAATATCATATAGTGGAAAAAATTCTTACATAATCATAATCACTGAAAGCGGCTGTAAATTCCACATTCCCCGCAGCAAAACTTAAACCAGTATTCTCTACATCGCCGGTGATGCGAATGCAGATGAAAGATAAACTGCCGAAACTGACCTCATCCATGATAATCTACTCTTTTAAGTGCGTCTGTGGCGCATGTTACATAGGTCGTACGGTAAGGGGTTTGTTTCAGCGTGTCAAGGAGCACCACCCGCGATGGTTGAGTCAGGGAAAAACCGGCTATCTCAAGCGCCATTGTGGGGCATCTCGTCGACACCGGCCACAGGATCCATCCGGAGAAAGCTTTTGATGTGGTTTATCGCATCCCAATCAATCGCTCAAGGGTGGTCCGAGTATGGCCGAGGTGATCGCCACTCGCTTACTAGGCCCCGACCTGTGTGCCCAAAAGCGATTGATGCAGACGCTCCAATTGCCTTGGCCGTGTGTGAAAACCAAAACGGAACATGACGTGTCACTTGACCCAAGTGGGGAAAGGTCACATGAACTAACACGTTAAACTTTCCTACACACACATACACACACGCAAACACATACACACTCCAATTACTCCGAATATTGGCTTTAAAATGAGCCATTGGCTATCATTATGTAAGAATGTTTCCACTATATGATATGTAAGAGTATGACTAGGAATATCCGAAAGCAATTGTTCGCTCGCCGACTCGTTTTCTCAAAGCTATCATGGGAATATTCAAGCTTTTAAACTCAATTTAAATTGATCGGCATTGGGATTGGCGGCAGTGATGGTTTTCTGCGGCACTGCTGCTGCTCATCCAGTGGTATTCACACGGTCAAAACAACCCTTTGCTTACCTGTCCCGTGGGTACTTCAATGTAGCAAACACGACCATCACTGCACGCTGCAGCCAAATAGTCCCCCGATAAATCAAACATGATTTGATTCACACTGAGTTGCAATCGTTTCTTACGTCCTTTGGTCAAATCCAGCACAGTAGGAGCGCACAACAATGAAGAACCGTCCACCTCGTGCTGGGGAATAAAACTGGCCAAGGCAGTAGCTTGTCGCAAGTCCCAGAATCGTATTACTCCGGAGCTATCACATGAGGCAATGCAGGTCCCTTGCTGATTGAATACGGCATAACTGACAGAGCTTTGATGCCCCAAAAACGTATGCACATTGATGCCCTGTGATTCGCGAGAAACAGAAGAGGAATTATCCCTCCACAAACGGAAGACTATGTATTTGGGAATGGAGAGCATTTTATGGGTTCATTGGGACTCCAAGCACACGTATCCAATTCAAAGGATTTTATTTCGTGGGTGGAATTGAGGATGGCGTTGACTTAATTTGCATAAGCTACAGCATCACTTACAAATGATTAATTTCATTTGCCATGTACGTTTTAGTCAGGAAACATAGGAAAACCAAAGGAGTAATGAAAATAGTACAAATTAACGTCAAGTAGTCCACCACTGCCATGCACATAGTTGAAAGCCATCTAGCAGTTGCCAGTTACATACTTCTTTGATCTGAGGCAAAAGAAGTTAGGGTTAGTAACAAATTATTCGATGACATCCTATTCATTACAAAAAACACAGACACTCAGAGCTTTGTTCGATCTTCCGATGATTAACGTAGCTTGATATAAAATGTATCTAACGGGATTTAGGATGAAAAACTGCTATGACAGTAGTGGATGCCTAGATTGAAGCGTCTTCGGTGAAAACAATTGATCAAAAATGGAAAATTCCATGAGTGTTGTGCATACAGGTGATTGAGATAAAACCACGTACTAGAAAGAAAAATTTTCTACTATGGCAATAGTGAACTCGTAAACAGCCATGGTTAGACTTAAGGCCATTCTAACAGGTAATGCTTTACGGAACGTGCCAATTTAGTCCCCCCTTCTATTTCTTTCACAGACAAAGCCCACTCGCAAGCGTTACTTCATCTTTAGCAGGTAACTGCGGGCCCTGTCGAACAATGAGGTTCAAATTATTTATTTTTTAAAAAATCGCTGAACCACAGGAAACTCTTCTCTACTCTGTTTTTTCTTTTTACTTGCATATTCCAACGCAGAAACAACAAGTTGTATTCTCGTAAACCAACCGAACACGGTACAATAGAATAGGTCAAAATGGGATTTACAGATAAAATGGAGGAAATAGCATGAGAGGATGGAAAGGGTTGAAATATGCGTTCACATTAGCAAATCACAGTCAAATAGTCAATACACTGATCTTTGTCATTGATGGTTTTGCGCATTCCTTTTATGCAATCGGGTTAATGACGGATGGCCACGGCAACTTAAGAGGTTGTTTGTTGTTTTTTAGCTCAAAATCATTACCACCTCCGGTATATACTATTTTAAGACTGATTTGAGTAATTATCACTTTAATTTGCGAAACTATTACTTCGAATTGTGAAAGAAATGCTTTTGTTGAATCCACTTTTGTTCAGCGCCCCGCCCCCCAATGGCCAACTGATCACACGTTTTTTCTAAGCCCTGCCTTCCCACGCTCTTCCTGTGTTGGAATGAGGCAGACTTCAATCGCGTATGTCGTCGAGCTTGGTGACGGACATCGATTCGGTGGGACAGTGCGATTTGCGCGTGACAGATAAATTAGACCCACCTCGATAAACATGAACGGTGACACACTGTTGCGTGCGCTCTGCAGCCAACGTACAACTGAATGACCTCATCAATGCTGCAGGCCCACATACTTTTCAAGTCTCCTAGCGGTGTCTGGATGACCAGCATGCGACAGTTTACTCTACCTCCTTTTGGAATATGGAGGAGACCGTTGCGAAACCTACCACGGTCACGCCCGCCCTAAATCCCAATGATACACCTTGGTTCTTTATCTCGGTAATGCGCGTACTCGTCCGTGTGGTTACGGTTCATGCGCGATCAACCTAGTCGCTCGCAGAGACAATATAAGATAGCATATGACCTCTGGTCTCGTTTAATGTGAACCTTTGATGAGACTGATAGTTTGAAATGGCCCAATCATACCAATTAAGCGATTGGGCTCGGTTGTAAGCGCAGTAATTTTAGCTGCTCCAGATTCTAACCGGTCCTTTAACAAGTCATTTTTAGTGGTTTTCTCTTAGTTCCATTTACGTGGGTTTATCCAGAGAAGTGCGATACATGCAAAATGAAGTCATCTTCACTATTATCTGGAATTTAACCTGTACTAGTTATAAAAGGCTGGGCGTAACTCAGCGCCATGGCACGTACTCATAACCTCAACAGTTGGGCATCTGCTAATCATCTACACCGTAAGAGCATCCATAAAAGGGCAGATCATATAGACCGGCTTTATCGAAACAAAGGATTATTTCTGTTTTGAATGAGCTGTTTTTGTGCAATTTTGTATCGGTTAATCAGGATATATCTTAACTAAGAAAGTGTTAATTGGTTTCACGGGATGTTTTTCTGTTTATTATTAATGTATCGCAACCTTTCCAAAGTATAAGAATGTGTATTCTGTCTTGTCCAAGTTTGTATTGTATGGATATTTCGCCTGATTGAACCATACAAATGTCAAGACGGAAATAAGTCTAAAAATACCAACATCCTTCAGAGATAACCTCCATGTACAATCCTCAGTTCATTCATTCAATCATACTAGACTCAAGTTTCACTCTTATATGCGCTCACCAATAGTACATACTCACTGTCCCGCTTCCCCCAAACCGGACTTTGAACTTCGAACCCGTCACACGGAAAGTGTGTGATTGACTACCACTGAAGACGATACACGAACAAACATGAAATGGCCTTTCGGTTCAGCCCTGGTATGAGCCGGTTGGCATAGTAGTAACACGCCTTCCATGCGATGGGTCCTGAGTTCAAAGCCTGGATGCGACAGTGGATATGCCCGAATGATTAACTTGTTTCATGCCTAGAATTGTGTATAGTGGCTTGTTTTTTCTAGGTAATCCGTGGTGCTTTGGTATGTGTCCCAACTAGTCAAACTCTTTCGAACTTGGCTGCTTAGATGACACATTTTGCTTTGGTTATTTGACTTTTGTGAACAAACTCTGTTTTATTGCAATCTTCTTATCTCGTTCACCCTCAATCCTTGTGAGTTCTGTTATTTTGAAGACAGCTTTTCATGTACAGCGCAATCCAGAATACCAACGCCTGAGCCATTAGCTGGCCTCAGATGTACGGCATTTTCCTTTCTCCCGTGACCTTCCAGCGTCTCAAAATGTTCCTTTGATAAACGTTTCTTTACGACCGATTGCTGAATCCAATAAGAATAAGAAGATGGCGTTAAAGAGGATCTAAACTTTCCATAATGGCAGTTGGAGAAAAAAATGCCAACTTTATTTATGGGCATGATAAGCTTGATTAATCCATTTCGTGCCACACATACCGTTCGTGCATCCCACAGCAATACAGATCGGTCTGTAGAAGCTGATACCAAGATATTCCCGCAAGGCAGAAATCGAACCGAGTTGACGGACCCACAATGTTTTCGGAGTGTGGCACGGCAGGCTTTCGAACGTGGCATACCGTCACTAGAAGCGATTGTCGTGTCCCACAGACACACGGTGCTATCTAATCCGGCGCTGGCTAAAATTTTACCATCCCAATGCCAGTTGACGGACCACACAGCACCGGTATGATGTTTCAGCAGACCTACGTGTTTTGCTTCTTTCATGTTGGTAGTCCTTCCGGGTATTTCGGATTTATTGTCCGTGTGTTTATTTTCCTCTGGCAATGAATCTTCCGGAGTAAGCTCAAATTTCCATAGCTTTGAAAAATGGAGAAGGAATTGTGCATGTGATGGATATTGCAGATGAACAAAAAGTATCATAAAAATGTAATGCTAGATCTGGATTTTCGCATAGCAGTCAGTGAAATTATGCAACTGGCTCTCTAAGACTACACGGGAGTACCCTCACAAATTTTAACCCACTGAATCGGTTGTCCCTCGCTTTTTATGCGCATAAAAACCTCTATGGAGATGCACAGTCGACGGATATTGAAAGTGTGAGGGTAAATGAAATTCAAACATATTCTTTATTTTCAGCAAACTGGATTTGTACCGTGATCATGGATAAATACTACTCAGCCTCTACAAAGTGCAGCAGTATTGCATGACCCAATGTCAACATCCAATTGTGCAGTGTTCTTCAAACATAAATCTACTCGCGGAAGCCGGATGAGCAGCATTTATGGACAACCAAACCGTAACTTTTGTTCAGAAATACTCCAAAAGTGAGTCTTGTCATGCGTTTCGTATAAGGATAGCGCTAGCTGCAAGTCATTGAAAATAAATGAAGGTCAAAAGTGGGTTAGCATAACTTTAACTCCCTTATTGTGCTGGGATGTAAAACATCCGTCGTAACTGATTTTTTCCTAATATTTTCTAAACACAAACAACTATGGTCTTTGTGACTCCATGCATGTTCACAGATCCGCGGGGTTGCGCATCGCTGTCTTTGCTCGCGAGCGGGGCCCGAACCATGGGAAATCTGTAATTCTCCACCAGCTAAATACACTTTCCAAAGATTAGTTGCAGTGGTCAGTTGGAGAGTCAAAAACAAACCTCAACAGGTCAATTCAAGATATCATTTACGGGGTGCGAATGTCGCAACAAATGAAGGAAAGTACTGGACGCGAGGCAATTGTGAATGGCTCTTTCATTTGTTCTATAGTGGCTACTTATGAGTAGGGTTGCGTACTTTCATAAAATTATTCCGATTTCATTGCGTCATAGCGATATATGAATTGCGGTAGTGATGGACAGCTTTTATGAATTTGAAGGAGTCAGCATTCGGTCGATTTAAACATATTTGGCCCTGCTAGAATCTGCCCTCAAAAATCAGTACAGTAGCGGATATCTTATTTGAATAATACTGAACCATGGTTTGGTTAGCGTCCCTATCAGCGCATTTCTCTCCCCCACTCAGGGGGAGGCGGGAATGTTAGAAATTCCTCCGCCTAAGTGATGAAAATGAAGATGAACGGGGCCTGTAGGTGAACCACCATCTAATACATGGGTCTCCTTGTTCATTGTGCTACACGAGACAGACACGTCAGACACTAAACACAATAACAAAGTGAAACAATTCAATCACATCCACTCGGACATCCACACATACAAGTTCAATGATGGGTTAACCTTACTCGCACACTACCGTCTCCACTAGCCGTTGCGATTAGTTCGTCTGTGGGATGAAAATCCGCAGTGGCAATCCAACTATCATGTGCGTTGGATTTGTCGACCAAGAGAGCTGCGGTGTTTGTAGACCACATTTTCCACGATCTGTCGTCACCGGTTGTGCATAGCCATGGTTGTTCGGTGTGAATTGTGACACTGGGAAGCACATAAGATGAAGAGCGTATGGGGAACAACAAGCTTTTCTTGAACGAGACCGTTATAACTACATTCAAGTTACGTGAACTGTTGATTTTCGGGAAGTAATCAACTGAAATTTAAATATTAAGTGGTACTTAATGAAAGTTACCACTAACTCGTAAATTATACTAGAGAGAAACACCTAGATCACTAAAACATCTATGAGGCTCTGACTGCTGCCGTGAGGTGTCATGAGGATAGTAATAAACCCTATGGATGGTCTTGGGATTTTAATGTCATGCTAACCACCCATTTGAAGATTTCCAATATTTTCTCCGCCCCTTGGCCGCTTCAATCAACAAACGAGCGTTGGACCCGAATCGATAAAAATGCAATCAATTTCCGATAAAGGGGATCTGTCCCGGATTTTATGTTTCATTGAAACATCACTGTTGATAATGCACTTCGTTGGCAAACTAAAAAAGGATAATGTGAGCGTGCATATCGACTTAATATTTTTCTCCTTCACCAAAGGACTTCGTGCAACAATGGTTGTACATTATAAAAACATCGTAGGTAGCTGATCCAAAGAGTTCTGGGTTCACCTGATATCCTACCACCTGTTGAACCTCTTCGTACTCTATTAACATGATAGACGCACGGCAGTGAATATCACCAGGCTTTGAGCACCCCCAGGAGAGTCCAATCATTATATCCTAACTGGCGAGTAGTCGAAAAAGCCAATACACATGATGTTCTCAGCACACTTTTGAAATATAACTCACTTATTCTACCTAAAAAAGGCGCAAACTCTCGCTTTATTCAAACCATCGATCGACGTAAACACAGGGCCCTTGGATCGATCAGGCTGATTACACGGGTGAGTAACCCTGCGAGATGATTGATGCATTGGACTCATCACCTCTCATTATAAAGTGAATGCTTTCCGCTAAAGCACCATCACCTCGTACTCGCAATGTTCAGTATCTTGTATGCGTTGTTACCCCCCCCCCTTCATTTGTGTTCGGTAACGCTGCCCTTCCTCTTCGTTCCGATTCCATTTACCATCGCAAACAGTGTGATCTAGACTACGCTCCTGACATCACCCCACTCAACGAGAGTGCACAGGTAGTTTCAACCGCTTCAAACGGACTGGCAATCCAGAAAAGTCCCTACAGGACACGCATTTCACCCACAGATTGTGAATTTCTGCATGCGCTTTACCTCGGTGGTGAACAATATGAAGTTTTGATTAGGTTTTTTAACGTGAAAGCTGTCTTAGTTGATGGTAGTAATAGTGAGAGGTTGACTTTATGGATAACAAAAACTCGATTGTCAATCTGAATAATTTGTATTATAGTTGCGATATTCCACTGGCTCCAAAGTGCATGTGTACCGCATCACAGCCCTATCCCTATTGTTATTTTACGACTCCGAATCCTGATCAGTCAGGTCTGGAAACCTTCACCGGTTGTCTGTTTTCGATAATCGCTGTCTTTAAAACAATGCCGGTGACGAAATCACTTTCTCAGTGGAACAGATTTCACAGTTCACATTCGACGGTTCAAACAGTTATTCAGTCGAATGTATCGTATCACCCTGCATGCTCAAATGACTCGTGCATGTTCCATAAATTCCAACCCACCTCTTACCCGACCGTATCCCGTTTGCGGTTCCAAGTCCCGGTTGAAAGAAGCTGCGTGGCGGATAACCACTGACATCAAACCACCGACCGTCAAATTATGTCGAAATGGTAACTGTGAACTTGGGGTTTGGAACCCATCAGATAAAACAACCCACCACTTCTCGCAGTCAGTCCACGGACTCTTGATGAGCTGGCGTTTATGTGATTTGCGCGCTCTATCGAGATGGGTATCAGAAGGAATAGTTCTGAATGCGTCTTGTAATGCATCCGAGGTTGATGAATTCCATCGTTTGTTCTTTGGGCCTGCGCCAGAGTCCACCGCTCTTTTGATTGATATTTGCATAGCGTCTTTTGTTCACTTCCAGTGTTAATTGAGTCCTTCGGTTGGTGGTTGAACTAATAGGCGATCGCAGAGCTCCACTTCAAAGGTTGATTTGCAACTATTAGTGACATTATATCATAAGTATCTGTTTCAGGTGATTTTAATGTGGTTATTTACCAAGCGTAAGGAGAGTTGGGCTCGTAGCAAAGCGTGATCCTTATCCACAGGTGTGGACCAGTAAGAACGGCAGTCTTAAATCCACCCTCTCCAGCGGTAATTGATGGCACTGTGATCGATTTGGGTCCAGTGCTATGAAAAGGTTGGCGATTTCCAAGTAAGGCGGTATCGTTTCTTGTGCGAGAAGTTGTTGTTTGACAAGAACAATCACTGGAATGCGCAGAGTTGAAGTAGGTGATCTTCATTGTCCGTCCGGTTGGCCGTGATTGCTTGCGGGTCGCCCAGATACTCTTCTGATTCGTCCCAAGATTGCACTTGAGCACTGAAGATTCTGGGGGCTACTACTCAGCTAAAAGACTGAGTTGTGAGATTGAGCTTTGTCTAACCCCTACCCATTTATTTTTCAGCCAAGATTGGATCTTCAGCTATGAAAAGCGATTGGTTGTAGCTCACAGAGTCATGGGGGCGCGCAAGCCATCACACCATGTCAAGATGCAGTCTCGTCGTGATGGGCACTGGACAGGCAGTCATCAAACACTTGCCGATATGTTAAGACAAAACATGTAATGATCCGAGAAAGCTTGATGATCCCATACGGTGTACCAGAAACTAAAATATGGCTCACCGAAGTATCAATAGCCAGTCAAGACCGAAATACCCCATAAAGTTATCGCACATTTTTGATATACATATCAATAAAATTTCCATTTTCAATACTATGCTGAATAATCATGCATTTCCTAATTTGGAATGCACCCGAACTTAGATGCTTCAAAAAAGAACCGTGAAAACTTTTTAATAGTGAAGATAGCTGGAAAATATTGACTTTGCCTCTAATTTCGACCAGCATGAATCAACCAAAAGATTAGCACATACTGACAAACCTTAAGATGAATGGCTTTTTGATTTTATTAAAGCGGATTGAAGATTCTGAATTGTTCACTACGCTGAAAAATTCATTTAGGCTATTTGTTTGCAGAAAACTGATTTCAAAATTAACTGTGGATGGCGTGCATTATTGTACTTATTCGAAAAATCTCTATGTTGCTCTTGAAACCTCCTGAAAATCGCACCTATATAAAACAGCAATTAAAAAATAAATGTGGATTTCAATTACTGATTTCAACGATCACTGGTTATTTTGATTTAAATAATCACCTGACACCCAGAAGCACAAGGTTTTGGAGAAGTTAGCACAATCGAATTAATCTCGGAACTCCTTGGCAATATCATTTTTCTTATCGATGAAGGCAGCGAACAATATTATGCTGAGTGGATAAAAAGCATAATTTATGTAGATTCAATATTAGGAGATTTTAGCATGAGCGATACTGTTGATCGATGGTTTATTGGAATGTGAGCTGAATGCGAGAATGGTCCCGGAGTAGGAAAGGGGAATTCATAGAAACGTTGCAGTTTTTGGCTACCACTTTGTGCAAGGCATCTTGAGTATGGTTCAATTGCTTGGAGGGTGATTAGACCAGAAAACTTAATTATATTCATTTTGGGCTGCTCGCCCATCAGAATTTACGGTCATGTGCCGTTCTCAGTTCATTCAGTCAACGGTAGCTTCGTGAAGTATGATAACGGAGTTTCTGTCCTGCCAGAGTTCATCAGTTTGTGCATATCAAGCGCCTCTAAAATGTAGAAGGAGTTAGGAATAGCTTTTCGGCTGCTTGAGAAGTGCGACATTACACAGGCTAGTGCAGAGTGTATAGGCCTTTTATCGTGGTTAAGTTACTGGGCCAAATCATGCCTTGAACAAACACCGGGACTAATAGTTCTGGCAAGATATGTTTGGAAAAGAAAACAACGAGAGAAATACAATCGGTCATTTGAAATACAAGTCAAGTCGGGTCGCAAATCGCTTTATTCATCCAAATGGATGAATTTTTAGCTCACTGCACACTAGCGCAACCTACCAACGCACACAGTCCCAGAGAAAAAGTAAAATGCAGTGTGATAAACTAAAGAGATATGTGTCATCAAATTTGAAAATGGATTTAATGCAGCTGGGGATTTAAAAAAGCTGTCTCTGAGGGATGCATTTTGTGCCTAAATTTTCGACAGATACAGGGTACGATAAGTAGCGGTCTGAGTATATAAAAACTTATAATGGCATATGGTTGCCGCAGTGGATGTGCATCGTTTAATTCCTGTGTGTTGTGGGTGAGTGATATGTGATAGCATATTGTTATTCAACGTTTGGTAACCGCACCAGTAATATTTTTATCGTGCGTGCTGGTATCTCTTTGGAGGTTTTGGGTTAATGGCGTTCTCTTTGCTTTGCCGTGCATGCTTATCATCAACCGTTACCCAAAGAGAACCTCCCTATCAGTGTTTCCCCCCAACCCAGTATCCTGGTTGCCTCGCCACCCAACCGCCGTTCCCCCGCCGTCGTCCGTCACCACGTATCGTCTACAGCTGCAAGAAAATAAGCCAATTGACATCCTGTAGCGCATTTCTGTCTACTCCGCTGCCCTGAGAGAGCCAGCAGTACGTTATCATTGCAGAAGTTTTTGTTGGAGGCAAGGTGTTTGTCAGGAATAAATTTGAGCGAATGTAAACAGAGAATACCGAAGGAGCGTGAAATAATTTTAAAAGAATCTAGGTAGAATAGCATAATCTTCGACTCTAAGACCGGAAAGTAAAACTGGGAGCAGTAAGGTTTACTGATAACCCAAGAAAATACAAAACAATTGAGACAATACAGTAGAACTTTTAAAGATAGCAAGCGGAAAATGAAGAAACAGTCGTGAAATCGTTTTAAAAGTGCAGTCGAAATTTGAAATTCACGTGAGATCTTGGCAAATAGCAACGCCGAAGTATTGTAGAGAACTTACTGGGGGAAAAACTGGTTACTGACATAGACCAAAGAGTAATTCCTTTCACAAGAATGTAGTCGTTCCCCTTTGGCTAAAGAGAAGGTGACATTCCTACATTTAGAGGCCTTAAGAGATGATATGGAATACGAAGACTATAAGCTTGACTATAAGTCTGAATCTGTGAGAAACGGAAATCGCCTTGGAATTTGGAACATATGGTGACATGATCAGCATACCTGATATGAAGTTCATTTGGGTCAATGGGTAGGTATCCAATATAGAAAAAGAAAAGAAAAAGGGGACAGTATTGTTCCTTGGAGCACCCCTGAATTAACGGGTAGCTAATCAGACATTTTTTCCAATAAACGTTTTGAAGTGTGTTGTACCAGTAAAACAATAGTGGAATGGAGACAGGGTAGTAATGTACAATCCAGTACCATGGATTAGAGACAAAAGCCCTTCCCTGTGGATACAATTAAATGCATTACTGTTTTCCGGGAAAACACACCAAATGCTGTAGTATGCCTATATAAGGATTACAAACCCAGTTTACCAAGTGCACAAGAGTGTTTAAGGTAGAACGTCACTTGTGGTAAGCGAATTATCTGTGATCTAATTGTCCAGTGTTAAGAACAACGTTATGTTGCATAAAGTTTTCAAAAGTCTTTAGCAAAACGGAGGTGCAGGTGACTATTCGAAATTTCCCGGCTTCCTATTTTGGGACTGGTGTGATGCGCACAGGTTTCCAAAGGTCAGTAACATTATTGTTCCTCGAAACAACGGTTGAAAACACCTGCAAGTGCCTCAGCCAGATAATACGTGTAACCCTTGGGTACGATAAGACAACCCATGGAGAACGGAAGCTTTTGATGTTTTGAGACACATCGGCTGTGCCCGCACTTGGATCGCATTGACGCAAAACTTCATGACGGTCAACTGATTGTAAATATGATTTCGATACTTCCGGTTGATTTTACTTGAAAAACATGCAACTGCGTTCAGCTGCTGTGGAATGAAACCCGCGTGGTCTGATTTTTGTCTCACGGATTTTTTTCATTGCACTCCAGATTGGCTTGAAATTCCGATCACCAATTGGGGTTTCAGTGTAGAGTCTGTCTAGATTTTGGATCTCAGTCTTGATCAGCACTGATGTTTATTTAACTAAAGCTAGGTCAGAATTTTACATGCCCGTTTCTTAATTCTTCTGAGGGTCTTCAAGGGGCGGGGCGGGGCGGGGCGGGAGGAAGAAAATCTNATCCACATAGGGTCCATGGGCAGCGGAGGTTAAAGCAGAAGTTCAAATAACGAGTGGAGTGGTCACATTCGACCGAGACAATTGGATCATGGAACTGATCAAAATTTGAACAAAAGATCATTTCTCCCAGCGGTATCAAGCGCGCAGGGTCGTACTGTCTATGAAAAATCTTTCGGCTGTGTCAATGTATCATGATATTTCTCTGGTTAGAGTTTTGGTAAAACATTTATCATAGAATGATCGGAGTCTGCGAGAGGGGATAGACTAAAAACAAAGAACTTTTGAGTCAAGCTGTTTTAAGTGTTGTGGGATTCGGAAGTGGACGGAGGATAAAATGAGTAGCCTTGCTTATTTTGATCGAAACCAAGTTTGCAAATACCGATATTTTCAATCCAACAAACAGTGTGAGCATTCTAGTCAGGGCGACCGGTCGATCACAGGTAATCAGAAAGAAAATAGGTATAAGATAAAGGAAGGCGCTGTTGGGATTTCACAATGAGATTGTTTTCGTTTAAATGTGTGTTTGAGCCCACGCAAATGATAGGACGGGAAAGTGATCTTTATTCCGAAAATCAATACAGATGCGGAGTGAACAAAGGAGGATTATTGTTTTGTCAACAATCGTGATTGCAACTGTTGTGGAATAGACCGGTACGGAACATGAGAATGTTTTGTAATTGGTCTAAACAGAGAGAAAACAAATAATGCTTAATGTCAACATTTAGCTTCCTCTTTTTAATTGTTTACTATTTTGTTTTTTTATGTTTTTTGTGGTTTATTGCATTTCCTACTCCCAACAAGGCTATTTGGTATTTTCGTATTCATTTTTATCCCAGTCAGATGAATCGGTTATTTCTCAAGATTTTCATAACACAATGCCAAATTTGCATGTTCCTCTATCTGAATCTATACATCCACCTCAAGTTCCGGTAGACAAATAAGGATTTATACACGAAACTTTCTGATATCATCATTATATTGTACAAAACTAGCATTTGATTCGACAAAATCTATGTAACATGACATCGTTGGCAGCTAACAATTCGTGTAGCTAAAGTAAAACCAATAACCAATTTGGATCTGATTTCGCACATCACAAGCCGAGGACTTTGAGCATTTTGACAGTGCATCGGTGAACAGTGTGTAACAGAATTTTTCTGTATGAATAAATCAATATGAAAGGCAGAACTTAGGAAATCACAGATGAGCGTCAAATTTTACTATTCTATAAGATCAAAACTACTGCACACTTTCCCCGTCAGATCTGTTTCAAATAAACACACGGGAAACAACCAATTAAAAATTAACTCCATGCCACAGTAAAGCGTTTAAGGGCCACGATAGTATGCAATGTGCTTACCTTGTACATGCAGACTCGTGAGCTCGAATGTTCTCGTTCAGTTTTCTATTCACTAGGCGTGAAAGACCCGGGGATGTGGCTTTGAGACGATCAAGCAAAGGATTGATTCTCCTGTCCGGTGGAAGTTCCGTTATACCACCCTGTGTGTGTGATTAGTATATGGATTGTCAGAGGTGTTTGTGGGCAGCCAAAAGACAGTGACCATAACCGACGCAAAAGTTGATGGTTGCAAAAACCGAAACTGAAAACTGTGTATAGTTACATCATATGCCCACGGAACATACATATATATGTGCGCTTATAAACATTAGTGACAAAATGCTATCATTCATCCAGAATATGGAACTGGTTACGGTGTTTACCTAAACAGATCCCCCCCATCTTGGGTTATCATAATATTTTTATAATTATTATTTATATGTTACGTTATGTTGCCCTCGAACTCGGAGATGTTCAAAGAGAGGGCAGTGAAAGGAATTGAAAAGCTTCCTTTCACTCAGCGTGTATCATCAGCGTCACATCCTTCAACTCCAAGGGATTTTTGTTCAATAACAACACAAATGTTCACATACTGACTGAATTGTATTCAATTTTTCTATTTCTTTTGTGTGATAGTGTTCATATGCCCGTCGAGTAACACAAACAACATTGCTCGATCAGATCTCTGAGGTTATTTTCACTGTGCAATCTTTATGATAACTAGGATTAAAACGACCGAATAAAACTTACCGGCTATCACAGTCAACATTTGTCTGCTACTTTTGCTGCCCAACAATTTTCCCTATCGTGTACTCTCTTCTGATGTCGTTCTTATACTCAAAATCCCGTTATAACTTTCATCAAAAATATTCCGTACGTGATCCTAGGAATTGGTTTTCACTGCGTCTATCATGGGGAATCATAAAGGATTTTTCCACAGTATTTTTTAAGATTAGATTTTCATAAGTTCCATAAATTCCGCACAAAAGCGATTCCATTTCTAGGGTACATTATATTTAAATATGATTGTTTCCCTAGTAGGATTCTCATTATGAACTTCTCGGGGGACGTCAAATCCCCAATGGAACTTTACAAGGACAAAACAGCTGTCCATTTCCCTCTGTTGACCAACATATACTCACGAAAGTCACTCGCCCTTGGAAAGGACAATGTTTTCTTTTACCTATCCTGAGTATTGCTTCGGTGCCGTAGGTTTTCCATAAACAGTAAACTTGTACAGCGATTTTGTTATTTCAGTGAATTGATCTAGCTGATTGTTGGCAATATCATGGCTCTCTGACATGATTGCGTTGAGTAAACAAACAAATAATGGTTTATTATCCCTCACCCGCCCCCCCCTCCTCCCCAGTGGACCGTCTCTTATGTTCTCAGTGTTCTTATGCCCTTGTAACGTTCATTCAATCTATCGTAATTTTGTCGCCATAACTGTAATGATTTGTTTATTTTTAAACGCATATATATATTGTGCTTTGAGAGAATCGTAAGAAGCCAGACTCATGTGTCAGAAGGAAAACTAGAAAGTAATTAGTTAGAGATTGTTGCAACTGCTACTCTAGATTCCATGAACTATCTGTGTTTTTAGGAATAAAATTCATCCCGAAAAGAAAATAGAACGTAAATTGAGCAGCTGTCAGGCTTTATGAGGATCTGACAACCATGATTATCACCAATAGTTGAAATTCACCCATATGGGCCTTCAAAAACTAGAACACTAGTATGCCGTTTTTCCCTCCCCTTTGACTGCTATTGACCGCTACCTGTTGAGCTCAGAGTACATGAAATTCAGGAGATCTTTGTGGATTATTTGGCATCAACTATTTACAAAACATCTCACCAAAAGCTGTAAACAAAAATCAAAATCCCAAACAAACCCCCAAACTTCGGCATGCTGTTCCAATAGATTCGGTTCTGGATGCTTTTGTGGTCAAAGTTGGTTCCGCACTTCTCGGGATTGGAGATAATTTACCTCGTCCTAATCCGACTTGTGGATATGTTTGTTTACACTCGACCGTTTCTTTGGCAGCCAAGCCCAAATTCTGCAACGAGTTCAGTGCGGATCTCAAGCCCTCAGCCTGGCCTATCGCACGATCTCTTTCGACCCGATTCAGTGTCTTCTCTTNCAGCGTAGTGAGCTTTTATTCTGTAAACAGGGGAAATGAAAATAGAAAGATGAGAATAGAATCCATAAATGAGACTGACATGGAAAGCAATGCCCATTTAAAAAAAGGGTTCTGCGTTCGTCGGAGTATTGCGGTGTCACTAGAATTATTGTTCTTAAATTTTGAGCATGCGGAAAAGACAGTACCAAGAAATTTTAAATCCGTTTTAGATAGCTTTGCGAGCAGTGTGAATGTTTCTGGCCTGTGCATCACTTCACCGGAATGTATAATGCTCTCCGCACGGTTGAACACCTTGGTATCACTCCAACTTTCACCGTCCGGGGATGGGAGGGGGAGGGAAGGTAAAGAACATTGACAAATTTTGATGCTTAAGTAGATATGTCTCGCCTAGCGGACGAATCTCGGATGAATTTTCGTCTGGTATGGGCAAGGTTGGTTTGGTTTTCGTCAACTTGGGACAATATGACATCACTACTATCAGCTCCCGTTCGTATAGGACTGATGGTAAGCTACAACGGATTGACTAGCCATATTATCATACGGTTTAGAGACACGATCGTTAAGTGTAGAACATAAACGCAGACCATCGGCGCGCAAACACCGCTTTCTGCATAGCGTTTCATAAGTATCGAGGGCTAACAAAACAAGCACTGATAAGGTTAGAAAATCATAGGGTAGTGATGATCAAGGACTGATGCAAGCCCTAGACCAATATAGACGGATGTGATTAGAGTATTCTGTTTGAATACCAACGGACGGGGTTTCCTAATGAACAAGGTTTGGTGAGTGACAGAAGAATGAAAGGGATGTATACTAACTTCCATGAGGTCGGCCAAATCGAAGGTTTTAGACAGTACTATGAGATGTTAATGAACCTACGCAGTTTAGTTCAGTTTGTACAGCCATTAACCACACATTGTCGTGAGCCAGTTTTGGTTGATCATATTTCACGTGTATACATTTTTTCCGTATTTTCTAATTTTAGGTTGTTCATACTAATTCTAATAATGTCTTACTGGATTTCCAAGAAAACAGCTACCAAATCTAAAATCAAGTCTAGTAATTATTTAAACAAAATGAAACAAAAGCCTGACATTGTTTAAAAGCTGCGATATTTCAAATTCGACTCATCATTACTTACCAGTATTAGTATTCAATTAGCAACCAAGAAAACCAGCGAAATCGATTGATTTACCATTCTATTGTGGTTTTTCAAACTTGAATTATGGATCTTTGCAACTATCTTTGTCTCATTTTATTGATTAAATAACTGTTAGTTGGGGAGAAAGCTTTAGCTATGACCTGCTCATGAAGCACAAAGATCAAGAGGATGAAATATGCTTGTCCACCTTAGTTCAGTTTAGCTTTTACAACCAATAACCACACACTTTCCTGCGCCAGTTTTGGCTTCTGTCCCATTACTGTGTATTCGCATAAAAGAGCAGAAGGAAGATAGGAATGCCGCGAGCCACTTAACTTCAAAATTTTAGTATAAGCAACAAATAATATGTCGGGTATCCAGTATTGTAACCTAACCAGGGCACCGGCAGGCAGAAGACTTACGCACCTTTTCAGTTCTCCAATCAATTGATCTTTCTCTTGTGCCAGCCTCCGATGCTTCAGCATGTGATAATCACGTTCATTTTGGATTTTCTTTTTAGATTCTTCTGTAGATCTAAATAAAATCAATGAGAACGTATTGGTTAGATGAACGGTGGCATCATAGTGTACTCTAGTTTTATTCGTAGTGCTTCAATTTCCTTTTGGAGTCGAGAGAGGTTATCTGACAATTTTTCGTTCTGTTCGTAAATATGTGGCACTGCTTCCAAGTGATCCACATCCAGTTGACCTTTGTGCAGTTTTTTGAACCTGTTATTGTTTTTTGGTAGTGGTGGTGGTGGTGGTGGTGGTGACTTAGTATTCACACTTACCATTCAATCTGAAACGAATTCAGTGTATCCCGAAAATCGTTACGCAATAAGTAAGAGCGAAAAAATTCATCCACTGTAGGTGCAAAATGATGCAGTTGAACAATTTTGCCCAACGTCACAATGCGCTCCTGGATAGTTGATAAAATATCAGATCAGATATTTAAACAGTGAGCAATACTTGTGCTTTGGCATTCGCTTCTTCTTCCCGGAATTCGGCTACTATGTCTTCAAGAGCATCTTCTGGCCCGATAGAAGAGAATTCATCGGTTGCAGCGGCGGTGTACACAACCGGTTTGTGAATATCTTCTTCGGTTAGGCGCGCAGCTGAAGAGGCGCGTGATGATTTCGTTAAAAAATGTAAAATAAGGTATACCTTGGAGAAAATATTTGGATGTGTCCAATTCCATTCGAAAGAGCTCTGAAGAAAAAAGTATTAAATAATTGAGAAACACGTTCCAAACTGTCCGTCTTGGCAGATGACTGAAGATAATGAGCCTACATTTATACTTAGAAACTACCAAAAACCTCAGCGGAATTCGAACCACAATATGCCACCTATGCCTTTGTGCAATAATCGCTATAATCATCCTGGCAAAAGATTTGAGAAGTGTGGTTTGATTTTTGGCAATTCATATTTCTGAATGTGAAGAAACGGGTTGCTCATTGCGCTTTTAGATTTGGTTGGTAAATAGCAGTTCCATCGTTCTACTCACCATGAAATTTACGCTTACCTACCGAAAATTCCTTACTTTGCTTACCTCCCTTCAGTGCAATAATAAATTATAACAACGTTCTTCAATTCTTGGGATAGCTTTCAGATTATCATAGGTGTAATAATGGTTGGCTTTCTTATTTTGGCAAATATTTTATTACTAATTGCTATATGTCCTCAAATTAAGGATAATAATTGGTCAATAAAGGCCGAGATGCAATTGATGACATTGTAGAGTTCTCCGAGTATGAAGCGTTGTTTGAGGCGTTTTCATAGGCAGTGCTACCAGAGAGATGATCATTTTGCCTAACCTGACTTTAACGGGTCTACAAAAGACACTTCCAGCTGGGGTAACCCTCCAACTCATCCAAAGCTACAACAACTCTGCATTATATCCAGTATAATGCAGTGGTTACCTTCTTATATTGTTGAATGGTATGGAACTGTAACTAACTGGTAAATGCATAGCAACATTTGTGACTTACACCATCAAAGTTTTACTTGAGGCCACTATTTCTACTTTCTGGTTACCTGTGTCTACCACACTGTTTCTGGTCAGCATAGCGGAGACGGCAATCGTGGTATCAATCTTTCTTCACAAAAAACATGATTTTTTACACAGTTCAAACAGATAATAGTCAGAAACCTATCGTTGGAATCTTTTGAGCGCTGATGTGCTGATTTTTAACTTTCTTGTAGAGCTCCTTGGCGAGAATCGGCCATTTACATCATCAGTTTCGTTGCCTAAAATACTTTCCGATTTAGAATAAAGCAGAGCTTACTCAATGTCCAGTAATTTTGGGATGTTAGACAAGATATTGAGAGAGATAAAAACGATGCTGTCTGCCATTGTCTTTTTGGCCCGATAACAGTTGCATAGGTCCCACGGAACCATAGTGTGGTTAATGTTGTTTACCCTCATATCACTCATATCATAGTAAGTTTTATTCAACATTATAGAGGTTTGTCAGTGCCTTCAAGATACACTTGTACACCAAGCGAACTAAATCCGTGGGTATAAGTTCATACGTACAGTGTTATTGTATCTCCAACTATTTCTGTGTATCATGAAAATAATCCCTATTTTGTGAATCATTAGCTCGAGCATCCAGTACATTTTTATTCCACTAGTGATTAAATTGTCATGTCTCATTTTGGATATTATCCACCCGAAACCGATTTCTTGTTGTCATGTTGTTATTATGTTATTTTCGATTCACATCTAT